TTAGGTTCTAGCTAGCACTTTGCTATTTTTAGTTTTTAGCTAGCATTTTGCTATTTTTAGTTTTTAGCTAGCATTTTGCTTCTTAAAGCTTTAACCTAGCATTTTTCTGCTTTTAGCTTTAAGCTAGAGTTTCACTACTTTAAACTAGGGATGCATGATATTATCGGCACGCTGTCGGTATCGGCTGATATTAGCTATAAAGTTAAATATTGGACATCTGCCAAATCTTCCAAAATAACTCAATGATATAAAAGGATCTGTTTATACATATCAGTGTTTCCCCTACCTTTATACAAGCGGGGTGCCCCACCCCGTCAACAGAACTGAGCACCCCACCTACCAAACTGAACTTGCCCACCCCCACCAGCACTGACGTAGCACTAAGCTAGCAGCACACAATACAGGTGCTCTAGCTAAAATGCTAAAGGCGCCTCTTCCCTCATGCTGAACCCCCACCAGCTCAAAAACTGTTGGTACAAGCTGCGGTCAGACTCAGACATGTCTCCGTCCCCACCGTCAACAAAAATCATGGATGAGATGAGCACCCTGCCATGGCAAGTTAACTAGGGGATACGTTCATATATATATATATATATATATATATATATATATATATATATATATACACACACACACAAACAAGGTGCTGTTTTTGTATGACAACCCAGTGACAAGGATGCCTGCAGCGCCAGCACAACATTATGACGTCACGCACGCCGTTGAGTTTAGATTTGTGAAAATTTACAAATTTGTACGGTTCGAGTGTTGTCATTGTGTTAGAGAGAGCAAATGTCATGACATTAAACATAATCCAAGTTGAAGTGTTGCATCATTTTCAGCCACTTTTTGACATCTGCATTTGGTACGAGGCCAAACTGACAAAGACCGTGCAGAGAAAGCCGTGTAGTCTCTGTAAGTAGGTCTAGGGGAAAAAATATCGGTATTTGTATCGGTTACCGGACAAATAACATATCGACATATCGAATATCAGCCAAAAATCCAATATCGTGCATCCTTACTTTAAACTATTGTTACTTTTATGTTTTAGCTAGAGAATTGCTACTTTTACTTCTTAGCTGCCAGCTAGCATGATGCTACTTTAAGCTTTTAGCTGGTGTTTTGCTGCTTTTTCCTAGCTTTGTTAGTTGGAGCTTTTTTAATAGCGTTTTGCTGCATTTAGCTTTCAGCTGCTTCCAACTCATTTGTAACTCTGCATTCATAATAAATTGTTCTATAAAATGTATTTCCTCTGGTTTTAATGGCCGATCTGCAGGTTTTTATTTCCTCAAACATAAAAAAAATTTAAAAAAATTTAACTTGATCTTTTTGAGACGTGAGTTCCTGAGTTTGGCAGTAAAATCATCACTAAGTCATCAGTGATGTAGCTGTTGTTCGGCTGCTGACCGGAAAAGGCTGATTTTCAGCTCGACTGACTGTAACTAGTGACCGGCAGAACCGGAGCTGAGAAATCCAATTGTTTTTACGCGCAGTTAAATGCATCACTGACAGCTGCTGCACACACACACATGTCGATGGTGTGTAAAAGTGTTTACCGACGACCTTTTTGTTGCAGGAGCCAGACGTTTACTGACCTTTACTCTGTGAAACCGAAGCAGATAAAACCAGACGATCAGTCCTTTAGGCACCGTCTTGGGCAACGGGCACTTTATTTCCTGCTGTTGTAGCAGCACGAGGAAATTTCCTGGGACTAAAGTTGTAGCTGCTGCAGAGTTCAGCCATGGTTTTAGTGAACTAATAAATATTAACTCGGCCCGTTATCAGCGCTGCGCCTGTTATGACTGAGATTTAATCTTTAGTGTTTCTTTTGTTGTCGGTTGGCCTCATCCAGGGCGACAGGAGAGCACAAGTCAACACTGACACAGAACGTGTGTGCATCGCTCTTCTGCTGCTGTTGAAACAAAAATAAAACTATTTGCAGAACATGCAACTTTTTTATAGCTAGCTCGAAGTACTCCCATGCTTTACACCCCTTTGATCTATGAATTAAATCCATTTTATGAATTTATATGGTTGACCATACAAAAAAATAAAAACAATTTAACATTGGGTTTGTCATTGGAAAACATAAAAACAAAGAAATACATTTTTAAAAAAGCCAACTCTCATGGGATGTGACTCTGGGACAGTAAACGGGAATGAATTCATCTTTTTTTGGACGCTCCACGTTCTCACGACTCGGGTCCCGTTTACACGACGCTGTTTTTAAGCAAAACTAACATTTCTGCTGCGTTTCTTCTGCTGACGTACGCAACAACAGCAGTCGTCTCTGAAACCGAAGCTCGGAGGATTTTGGAAACGCCCGACGTTAGTGTGAAATCTCGTGTGCGCGCTACGGCAAAGTTTTTCTTCGCAATTAGATGAACAGCAAGCAGGTAGCAGAGTTTGTGCTGCTCTGTAGGAGCGACCCTTCGTCCTCCTTTGTCCAAATGGACGCTCATGTTTTCACCATTTTGGGCGTAGCTGTTTTCATTCTTGAGACTGACGTGTCTGAATGTGCACGTCGTTTATAAAAATCACATCGCCATCCGGGAACATGGGCATGGAAACTACATCAGATTAAACGAGCTCAGGATTGCAGTGTAAACATGTAACTTTTCCACGATCCACCGAATTTTCCGCCGTACACGTCACACCGCGCTAAAAGTCGTGTAGTGGACTAGGCCTCCGACCAAAACCTGCCTCTGAAGACCTTCATGGGACAGGAACTGTTATTTCATTGATTTGAATCCAGAAATACAAATTAGCTCATCCAGAGACTGTCTAATTGTATCCTGAACTAATCAATTGAAAGAACACCCTCTTCTTTTATATTATCATCACTATTTTTACAATGTCTTGATAATCTAAAGTGTGTTTAGTTCATACCATTTTTAAATGTTGAAGTGAACCACTCATTTTAAATCAACTGTGAAACAGTATTAATGATTTTTTAATCCTCATTTAAATTAGAAATCAAGTTAAATGTCTATTTTACAAAGTAATTATGCATTTTGATCTTCTGTCTGAAATGAGAAAGTGATGTCGGTCAAAAGTCGGAGACAGTCGAAAACAAGTTGTTAGAACGGGCTGTCGTGTTTTTAAAACTCTCACAGCAAATAAGAAAACTGGCACCTGCAGTGTTTCTCACTTCGCCAAAACATTTCTCTGTCTGTTCCTAAAACATTCTTGCTGTTTTCTTGACTTGTAAAAACCCTTTGACATCACTAGAACCACACGCCTGTTGGTTGCTTCAACCAATCAGGACTTACTAAAGTGACCGGAAGCAGAACTCTTTAAAAGTCGACACTTCCTGGAGTATCTCACGACTTCTGCCAAGTCGCAGCTGCCCTGAGGAGACAGGTAAAAGGTAGCGTGCCAGGGACCTCTTGACCGTAGCGGACCCATCCTCTGCCAAGGTAAAGAGTCGTCACGAGCTTCACGCGAAGTGTACCGCGGGCGAACTGCGTTTGGAAGGAGCGTGTTGTTCTGGTCTACAGACATACATCTTCCTTCAACATCTCCCTTTAAACTCCTCCATATTTCCCATCTTTAAAACTCTTCTATCTTGCCAGTAATTAATCCAGATGCCTTCAGAAATGTCTGTTGTTTTTGTTAAGTAAAACGTGCCAAGTTTTATTAATCAGAACCAGACCGGTCTAATCAAGTGTACAATGTTTTGATGTTAAATTTTGATTCTGTTCAATAAATGACCAATTTATTTTGATGGGTCAAAGAAAATTAACGTCTCATGTCACTGATTAAACCATCTACGCACAGTACCTCTGTCACATGGCTGTAATTAGCTTGAAAAAGAGAGAACTCATTATTTAAATGTGACTGTAGTGAAACTCTAAAAAGCTAACCTAGCCCATAGAACACTACAGTCGCATCAGTCCAAATATGTCTAATAAAGTGGAAAAATTCATAAACACGTCACTTCGCCGTATAAGTCGCATCTATATGTGTCACCGCTGACAACCCGGAAATGTGCGCCCGAGTTGTGCCAAAAATCGATTGGCTGCCAAATGGCGGCCACAGGAGCGTGCACAGGAGGACTTTAACAAGATTAACACTTAAAAACAATTATTTGTTTGCTCTAAATTATAGCAAAGGTGTGTCTCAGTCTAACTTTTACTTAATAAATGCACTTTAATGGTCACATCAGCTGCATTTCATCGGGGCGGTGCAGCGAAGTGAAGCTGATTTGTCGGTTGCTCCAAGCGAGCTGGACGAAGGAGGCACGCTATGGCAAGCTGATTGTGTCATTAATAGCCACTTTTACCTATTGCATGATACAACAGCATGCCATACTACTCAAGTGCCATCTAGTGGCTGAAAGTGGTAGTGCTCAATATTTGGTCACATCTCATCCAAAACTTGGTTTATAAATATGGGAAAAAATCCATAAATATGTCGCTTCAGCGTATAAGTCGCAGGGCGTGCAAATTATGCAAAAAAACATGACCTATAGGGCAAAAAATACGGTGCATCAAAAAAACACTTAACATTTCCAGAGCTGTTCAGGCGTAAACGGCCTTAAAGTGATGCCTCGGTTGTTTTATTGTTGTGGAGACTGGTGGGAAGATCATTCACCAAACTGGTCAGGTTGTACCAAGAAGAACACAGCGGAGACCACTAATCTAATTATTATTATTATTTATTATTATTCTTGGGGTCCAACACATGTTAAGCTTGTTGTTAAAGGCCACTTGGTATTTTAATGTTCTCTGGTCTGAAATAAATGTGGTCCAATACACAAACACAAGTCATCTCTATTATAGTATTTTAAGATTTCAGCATTTGTTTTTATTAACGTTTGTTCTGTTTTTAAAAGCTGTAACTGATTGGGAATGATTTTTATACAGGTTTTTAATGAGTTTAAACTACAGTCATGGTTTATTTGTCCTTGAGGAGTGTTTTCTGTTGGGCTTTTTAAAGCTTCGATGGTAATGAGCTTTTTTTTTGTCTCCATTCTTCCCCTCTCGCTCCTCACAGATCTGATGCTCGCTTGCAGCCGCCGCCATCATGTTCTCCAAAAAAAAGAAAACTCGAATCCAGATCTCGGATCCGTCGAATTTTGAACACCGCGTTCACACGGACTTTGACGCCCAGGAGCAGAAGTTCGTCGGGTTGCCGCGACAATGGCAGTCGCTCATCGAAGACACGGCCAAAAGGCCCAAACCTTTCATCGACGCCACCGTCATCACGACTGTAGAGCCGAGAAAGGTGGGCCGAGCTAAAGCCAAACAGCACTCAATAGTTAGCACTCGTGGTGACAAACGCGCTGAGTTTGTGCTTCCGTAATTTAATCTGACAAATTATAACCTGACATTGTGACTAAGGTCCAATGAACGTTTTCTTTTACCTGTACCTCCAGACGATCGTGCGCGGCAGCAAGCTGGGAGCAGACAGCTCTTTAACATGGCTGCTGGATGAGTTTGACACCATGTCTGTGACCCGGTCCAACTCCCTGCGACGAGGCAGCCCACTTCAGACCCGCAGGGACTCGAGCTCTTCAGGCGGAGGCGGGCAGGAGAACGGGGATCCTCACCACAGACACCCCTCGCACTCGGACAGGTCAGAATCAGCCGCAGCTTCGGCTGTTTTATCAGAGGAACTGTTTGTGCTGACGCATCGATCTGACCCTCAGGGACCGACCCAGGCAGGATCACCCGCCTGGAGGTGAGCCCCGCCACGGTCAGCGGGCCGTCCGTCCTCCTCAGAGAGACGAGGAAATCCAGGGTCGGCCCCACCAGCAACCTCGGGGCCAGGAGCCCAGCAAGGCCCAACGAGAGAGGACTGGGCCAGGCCATCCTCCTCCACCACCTCACAGAGACCGGGATCATCGAGACCGGGATCAGGTAGAGAACAGATCAGCCGGAGCGTTTCTTCATGTTGGTCCTCACAGCTCTCTCGTTTCATTTAACAAACGTTTCTGCGACTAAAACGTCGAATCGTCTGATTCAGCGATAACAGTTTTCTTGTTTTAAGTTTTTAAAAACATTCTGAAAATATAATTTCATCTGCTTACTTTAATGTTTTTAGCTGTTCTTTGATCAAAACGTTCGGCTCGTTCAGGAGACGGCTGCTATGACTTTTAGTTTTGGTAACTTTTAAACTTTTATGAATACTTTTTATTCTGCAGGGAAATGTGTTGAGACATTTTCCTTTATAAACATTTTTATAGTCTGCTTCAACAAACTGGCTCTTTTTTTGTTAGCTCCTTTTAGCTTTCAGCCACAATTCTGCTATTTTTTAGTTTCTAACTAGCCTTTAGCTTTTTTTAGTTATTTGTTTCACTTTTAGTTAACTAGATTTAGCTACTTTTAACTGTTTGGTATTTAGCTTTTAGCTAGCTTTTGCTATTTTAGCTTTAAGCTAGACTTTTGGCTCTTTTAGCTTCTATTCTGCTGCTTTTGTACTTATTTTTCTACTTTATAGCTTTATTTTTTACAACTTTTAGCTAACTATTGGTCCTTAGCTGGACTTTTGATATTATTAGCTTTTAGCTATCTTTGTGATTTTTTTTTAAGCTAGCCTTTAATAGTTGTAGCTTCTGTTCTGCTACTTTTAGCTATTGTTTTGCTACATAGGTCTTAGCTAGCCTTTTGTACTTTTAGCTATCTTTTTGCTGTTTTCAGCTAAACTTTTAGTGCTTTCATTCTGTATTTTTCTACTTTTGACTTAGCTGGACTTTTGCTACTATTAGCTTTTTCAGCTTGAATTTTGCTAGGTGTAGCATTTAGCTAGTGTTACTTTTTCCTAGTCTTTTGCCAGTTGTAGCATTTAGCTCTTTTTAGCTTTAAATCAATTTGAGTTTCAGAGTTTTTCAGCCCTCAGCGTTCTCAGTGTTTCATCTTATTTTCATTTTCTACATAATCTAATTTATTTTCATTCATGAAGCCCCCCCCACCCCCCAGTCAGTTTTCATTCATTCCTTCGTTTCGTCAGGAGTCGGCGGTTCGCAGAGATCCGCCCGGAGACCTCAGGCCAAAGTCCAGCTACGTCCCTCGGGAGGGCAGTCCTCAGTCTCCCAGGGACAAGAGGCCCCTGTCGGGACCCAACATCCGAACCCCAAACCTGCCGATAACGGAAGGGGTGATGAAGACGGCGCAGCAGACCGCCCGGCCGTTCAATACGTACCCGAGGACGGACAGCGACGGAGCACGCAGTCCCACAGGACAGGTGGGGACTTCAGCTAACGAGACTCGACTAACGTCAGAACGATTTAACGTCTTCTGTCCGTCTCCTCCAGGTGGTCCGACACCACGAGGCCTCCCCTCAGAATGGACCTTCCAGCGGTTCCACCCGAGGCTCCTCCAGCTCCAAGCCCCCGGCCTCCCAGCAGCCTCATCACACCTCCCACCCCATCCTGACCCCCGAGTCCTCCCAGTACCCGCACACCCCGCACCCCAGCGTTCCCGCCCCACGGCCCCCGGTCCCACCCGCTGCACCCGCAGGCTCGGGGGCCCCTCCTCAGGGCCACTCCCCGCAGAGGGAGCCCCAGAGGGTCTCCCACGAGCAGTTCAGAGCGGCGCTGCAGATGGTGGTGGATCCTGGAGACCCGCGGACCTTCCTGGACCACTACATAAAGATCGGTGAGGGGTCCACGGGGATCGTGTGCATCGCCACGATGAAGACCAACGGGAAGCTGGTGGCCGTGAAGAAGATGGACCTGAGGAAACAACAACGCAGAGAGCTTCTCTTCAACGAGGTGAGATCTACAGGGAGCTCACGAGAAACAGATGCTGATGAGTTCATCTTACTGCAGCTGAAGTTTGGTGTGGTAGTAGCTGAGAGTTATCCTCAACACATACTTAGAACAATTACGTTTTTATCATTACCTGTCTGTGTCAGTGGTCTGTTGGTAAAATATCTTGTGTAAAGGATCAGATATTCACGAGTAGATCTCAGGATAACTTGGAATTGCGGGTTATTTTATTCTCCAGTAGTTTAATTTGGGTTGTAGATTTAATCTTTGCTCAAAGAGTTTATACGAACCAGTTTGGTTAAAACCAGAATGTCTGTAAACGTTTTAATTCAACCCACAAGTCCACCAGGTGTCCAGCTTTTTAAATGCCTACAAACTTTGTGCGTTTTTCTGGTGTAGAAACAGAATAATCTCCCAGTTCCTGGTCAGACTTTAACTGAAGCGTCTCCTCGCTCTGGGCTGGTCTCTGTAAAAACGAGTCTGTTACGAGAGCTCGAAGCTCCGCTGCACATCGTCACATGAGATCATCGGGCTCCTGCGCAGGTGAAATAATCTCGGCGTGCGCTTGTTTTCCAGGTGGTGATCATGCGGGACTATCACCATGACAACGTGGTGGAGATGTACAAAAGTTACCTGGTGGGAGATGAACTCTGGGTCGTCATGGAGTTCCTGGAGGGCGGAGCTCTCACCGACATCGTGACGCACACCAGGTGACAAAACAGGAAGTCTGTTTCTGTGTGAAGTCAGGGTTTGACACCTTTATTTTAATTTATTTATTCACAGCATCTTTTTTCTTCTTAAAGGTACTCGCTGTAAACTTTAAACCTTAACGTAAATCGTTAACATCAGTTGATTTGATAGTTTTTAGGTTTGCTTTTATTCGTTATCGGTGTCCAGCACTTTGTGTTGCACAGTGTTGCTTTTAAAGTCTTTATAAATAAAGTTGTATTGTAACAACACCAGATGGTGCAGTTTGAGAGCGTTTACGCCGTTAGTTCTCCAAAGATACTGAATAACAACTCTGAAATGCAGGTCCACGCTCAACGTAAACAAATTACTTTTGCAAATCTGAGCATAACTACGCGCCGATACATCTGAGTCGCTGGACTTCTTGAAGCCAAACGGCTTCTCCATGGACGTCAGACCAAGTACAGTTACTTCAGTTTGGGTACTTGATGATTACTGCTGCCGAGTAGTTAATGAGTTAGTATTTAAAGGTCACACAATGGCTGTAGAAACTGTTGTTTCTGAACATCATCTGTGTTTACCTTGAAATATCTCCAAACTACAGACTTTTTATTTTTTGTCCTCGGTTTCTTTCACAGTGAAAGAAGAAATGATTGGGGCTGATCCGGTATCGGCCTCCGATACCAGCATAATTTATGTATCGGATTTTTCCGATCCAACCTGCAGAGATTTCCGATCCCTGATGCACGTTGGCTTCGAACTATGGAATGGATTTCCTGAATAGAGGCGTATCTCATGAACCCAGAGTAATAAGACCCGCCTCACATAAATCAATGATGATCATGATATCGGAACAGGATCGGTATCTGATGATATTTAGATTTAAGTATTGGGATCAGATCAGAAGTAAAAAATGTGGATTGGTGCATCCCTAGAAATGATGTTACGAAGCATCAAAGTAGCATCGGTCCAAAGTATCCGTGCGATTTTATGAGTATTTGAAGCTGGTGTCTGTCCTGATACCAGTATCTGACCTTTTATGGACACCAATGAGGCCGTCGTGCCCAAATACACTCAACTACTTCCTGCAGCTACGCTAGAACTTACTGGTGGAAGAACTGTTGATAAATGTGAAGATGAAACCTCAGACTTGAGAATAATCTACAATTTTCTTCAGATTAAGTGACCAACGTCCGTGAAAGTAACATATTTACACAAACGACAAAAAAAAAAAAAACTGGTTAGATGTCGAAGAATAGTTGGATAAAGAAATAAGATTTATTTCTGTTGTGTATAAGAAGGTTCTGTGCACAAAGGTCCGTTGACCCGTTTTCTGTCGCTTCTCTTTTCATGTTTCTGTCGATTGAAACAAAAATGCACGCGGCAGTTGGAATCCGAACACGTTTTTAATTTAAGGACACGTAAAAGTTGTCTTAAACCAAACGAACGTGGTTCTGGTTGAACTGGTTGAACAAACCGGACCGGAGCTTTGTTTCCTGCACAGACGACAGTTCTGTTTGTGTTGCACTTTAATTTCTGTGGACATAAACATGTGTCCTGATGACAAACATCATCTCCACGTGATGTTTAAACGTTTCGCCTGTTTCAGTTCATCTGTTCACTCGTTCACCGTTCACGCGTTAACTCTCACTCCGTCACTAGGGGGCAGTGTAACACAGCTCTATGGCCTGTTACTGCGTCCGCAGAAGATGTTTAAAGTATCCTCCACTTTAATGGTGCTTTGAAAGACCAAGTGAATTAACTAGTTTGTTCTTTTTGGCTCATGCGTCACTAAAAGTTGTGACATCAACCAGAAAAGAAGTAAAATTCACACAATGATAAAACGAGAAACGCCTGAAGTCTTTTTTCTTCTGTCCTCCAGGATGAACGAGGAGCAGATCGCCACCGTGTGTCTGTCTGTCCTGAAGGCTCTGTCCGTCCTGCACGCCAAGGGCGTGATCCACCGAGACATAAAGAGCGACTCCATCCTCCTCACTCACGATGGCCGGGTAGGCACTTCCTGTTAGGTTTGAGAACGACTTGCGTTGCCGGTGGACAGAGGAGCTTCTTGACGAGTCACAGTCAGAGCTGATTAAAACTTGTACCAGGTTTAATATAAAAGTGGAGGTAGTTGTTGTTTTCTGTAGGTTTTTATATTCTAATCACCCTAACCACTCGTCTTGTTCCTTCAGATGTGAATTCATCTCACTCGGGGGATTTTTGTGACTTGTGATATTTTTCTAAAGATTTAAGTTTATTTACAAATGTTCAAAATCGGCTTCAGCGGCCTGGCTTTGTTCTAGTCTTCTAAGGATCATCAGCAAACCTGTCGTGGAAAACAACTGATTGACGGACGGTCGGGCGTAGACTTCATCAAATTTATTACAAACCTCTGCAGAACAGCCGGACCCACAGAGAGTTGATGCACCACAAGTACAGAACTTATTCATGCCTTGTCCTGTCCGAGGTTCTGATCCGTTCTGGCTTCCTGGAAAGAAAAAGATTGTTTGGTTGAAAACTCATCAGGGGCCTTCCCCTCCCCTTCGTGTTATCGGAACCGGCTGAACCCGCCTGAGTCCTGGGAGAAAAGGAAAATATTTCTCAAGGATTCTTACGAGGGGGTGATCCGCTCGTCTGGCCAGCTGGCACCGTCATCCCTCAAACAGTGATACCAAAGCATTATGTCATAATCCACAAAGACCTAAAAGAACTTTATAAAGGTTCGTAATCTAGTAGAATAATAGAGCATGGTGCATGCATGCAGCCACATCTAAAAAAAAAAAATCATTACACGGAGTTGAATATTTCAAACCTTCTTGTAATTTTGATGATTAAAACTTAAAGATGATGAAAAACCAAAATAAAAAGAGGATGTGGTGAAGAGTTTTAATATTACAAACTCCTGGTGTCACAGCCTGATCAGCCGATGAACTCATGGACATGAGCTACAAATGTCTCCTTCCTCAAGTCCTGCCACTCCTGAACCAGAGACAACATCAGAAGCGTCTTACCTGCTGAGGACACAAAGAACTGGACTGTCTCTCAGTGGTCCAACGTCCTCTTTTCACATGAAAGATTTATAAATCAAGTTCCCAGAGTCTGGAGGAAGAGTGGAGGTCCAGAATCCACAGTCGGGGATGGTTTGGGTCCATGTCCTCTGCTGGTTCTGGTCCACTGGGTTTTCTGAAGTCCACGCAGCATCTAGCAGGACATTTTAGAGCTCTTCATGCTTCCTTCTGCTGACGAGCTGTATGGAGATGCTGAGTTCATTTTCCAGCAGGACTCGGCACCGACCCACATCTGCCAACATCTGGCTGTGGAATATTCTCACTTTCTTTGGTTTCTTATTATCTGTAAGTTATAATCATCACAATCACAAGAAATAAATGTTGAAATATTTCACTCTGTGTAATGAATCTGTGAGGTTCACTTTCTGAAGTGATGGACCAAAACATTTATTTTTTTCACGTTATTCTGTTTTGAGATGAACTCGTACGCACTCCTCCCTCTCGATTCTCCATCAGTCAAAACCGTGTACAAATACATGCAATGCACATCAAACAAAAACGGTAACTATAGTGTAAATATTAGTCACTAAACAGTAGCCTCAAAATATCGTCACATGAGCATCGTACAACAATTACACAAACGTGTCTTTGTCCACCTCACTTTGACTTGAGTTTGATGAAGAGGTAAATTAAAATAAATGAACACAAGCTGAATAAAAGATTAAACCAATGAAGAATAAACTAAAAAAAAAAAAAAATCCACACAAAGAAATCTCAGTGAATATCCGCAAAGCTCTAGTGAAGTTTCCTTTTTCACAAACTTTAAACAACTTTACAGTTTAAAGCTCCAAACCAGTTACCGGCCGTGAGCTTTAAAAAGAACGTGGCTTGAAAACGATGACTCAAAAATAAAACCAAACAGCAACTTTAACTGGAACTGCTGAGGCAAGTTTGACATGAAGTCACTTCCTGCGTGGCGACGAGCGAGTTTCTGCTTTCTGCAGGAGATGAAACCAACATGGTTGCCTAGCAACACCAAGTAAAAAAAAAAAAAACGGCCCAGCTCCTGGAGAGTCAACATCTACGAGATTATAACGCCTCAGCCAGTTCAGATGAGTAACGAGACAGAAGGCTCGTCGTTAGCTGTTTGCTGCTGATGTTCACAGATGTTCTGACTCAGTGTCTCCAGCTGTTTTGATAAATAAGAACAAGCCGCGTGCTAAATGCTGTCTCATGTTTTGGTTTAACACATCGGTCGCGTTAAAATACCAAACCTGCTGTTCATTCAGTTTATAGACGAGTTCATGAGCATAACTTTTGCTGTCGGCCATTTTCACCGGACGTGTTGGTTCATGGAGGCAGTACGGCCAGAACAAACACCGGAGAAGAAAGTCACGATGTCGACTGAACGCCCAAGTAATACTGCATCATCAAATCTGGAAGAAGGAATGGCTTAACTAGAAAAATAACATTTTCTGCTAAAATGCAGCATCAGTGCTGAGCACTGAAGAAGCTGAAACAAAGAGCTGTTAAAGCCAAAATAACAAAACACTAGCTAAAAGTAGCAAAAGGCTAGGTCAGAACTAAAAGTAAAATTTATAGTCAGAACTAAAAGTAGCAAAAGATCACCCTAAAGTTAAAAATCTCAAAGCACTAGTTAAAAATGGCAAAACACTAGCTAAAGGCAGCAAAAGGCTAGGTCAATGCTAAAAGTAGCAAAAGACTAGCTAAAGGCTATGAATACTAAAACACCAGCTAGGAGCAGATCAAATGTAGGAAAGGCTTGCTAAAATAAGTAAAAAGCTTAAAGAGGCTAAATTAGCACAAAGTATGTAGAAGTAATTAGATGACGTATAATAACGTATAGATGAACATAAACGCTGACTCGGCAACAATAAATTTAAAACGCCCTAATTGTTAAGACGACATCTCAGCCCTTTCTATTCAGGTGATACTAAAATGTCAAAATATTAAAATAATGAAACCCATCGAGGGCCGACTGACTGAACTGAACTGGATGTTGTTTCAACTAAACAAAGAGCAAGTCACAAGTTTGCTGCTGGGGTGAACATGTAAACCGCTCGAGGAGGTGGTTTCATGGCGTCAGCCTCACACTTTGACTCCAGCTGAAAGCAAAGAAAAGACGCTTTGTGTTGTAAGACGGGAACCCTCAGGAACCGTTTCATGTCCTCAGAACACACAGACACGAGCAAAGAGCTGTTTGGGTTGTTAAACAAGCTGCTTTTACACAACAAGCGCTCAGGATCAATCCAGTAACGATTCTTTAACACTTCTAGATCAATCTTCATCTTCTACATCGTTTTATTTGATTGTTTTTGTGGATTTTGAATCAAAAGCCTCGGACAACCGTTTAATTTGGTTGTTAGAGGCTCGTCTGGTAGAACTTGACCGTGTTAGGCAGAGCGCTCTCTAAGAAAAGCTCTGCTGCGTCGTTCATCTGTGGTTTTTAAAGCCGGTTATAAAATCCTAAACACAAAAGCAATAGAAAAGTCTGAGTAACAGTACACAACACAGCCGTGTACTTAGAGTTCTTACCAGGTACACACCCTGTAGGTATCAGGTAAACACTGTAAATACTGTGTAACAAGTCAGTTTATATTATACCATAGTCCCCTTGTACCCACCAGCTGCATACCCAGTAGGTAACAGGTACATACTTGGTACACACCTTGTAAGTACCATGTACATACCTGATATGTAGTACAAAGTGAGTACTTGGTACAAACATTAGAAGTCCCTACTGCATAACCTCTGCGTATCCTGTGAGTACCAGCTGTGTTCTGTGTGAGTACCAGCTGTGTTTTGTGTGAGTACCAGTTGTGTTCTCTGGGTACCAGCTGTGTTCTGTGTGA